CGCAAAGTCACAAACCTATTTAGTTATAATTTTCGATGAATCTATAGAGAATATTAAATGTGATCAATTAACGTATAAAAAATAATTATTTCCGGTAAAGGTTTCTGCGCTACATTAAACAAAATGTATGAAGTATGATTAATTATTTGTTATATCACATAGTAATTATCAGTATGGCAATATTGTGCCCGGTATAGTAACATTTAGCTATTAATGAGATCCAATCTATTGTTAGGGATTGACTCCTGAATTTTCAACAAGAACATAAACCATTCAACACTATTCTAATTGCTTCTTATTAAATTCATTACCAGGCGATTAATGGGTTAAATAAAAGGAATATGTCACGAATTAAAATAAAACTCTTAGAAAATTAACCAAAAAACCCCAAATTATTAGACGCTTTGGGTTTATTTGTAAGTTTCATTATTGTTCTTGAGGTAGCAAATTAATTTTATACGCGATTCAAGCTGTCACACATAAATATCTTAAAGTAGATGGGGTCAACTATTTAAGATTTATTTTCCCGTTTTTCTCATAGTTTAAAGTTAAATCGCAACTTCATTCAATTCTTTTAAGAAAAAAAAAATGAAATATCGTTACGCTATTAGTTGTCTTGTCAGTAGTTTATGTTGTTTTTGTTGTTCTAGTTCAAATGAATGGAAATAAATCAGACATTGAATTTGATAATGAACGGTTAATCGTTGCGTGGAAGATTGTTAGAACAAATTTCTTAGTTTTTCTTTTTTTTTTTGCTTTGTTTTGCTTTATAGAAAAGAAAAATCCTCTTTGTTTTTATATTAACGCTCGCTATAAGTTAAGTATAAAATTAAATTAACCGCTGAAAGCGTAATTCTTCATAATAATTTCGTTTTAATTCTTCTGCTTTTTCTTTTGGTTTTTTATTCATCTTATAAGATTTGTGTCAGGTTAAGTTAAATGTTGGTCTTTATTATTCAATGCTTTTTGTTTTTTCAATGTAATTTAGTACGTGTTAAGAAATTTTCTGGTTTTAAGTTCTGGGCTCGCCAAATTGGTTGCTTTCAAACTTTAATGTAGTTGGTTAAGAAGAAAAGATTTTCCTTATAGTTTTTTTTAAAAGAATTTTTAATATTTAATTTATGTTACGGTTATTAAATAATTCAATATTGTTGTAAATTTTCAATTCATTTTTACCTATACAAGGTTCTAAGTAAGTTATGCTTGTATCTTGAATTTCAAGTTCAGAAGTTTATGAAGAAGAAATTTTGTATTTAATTAAGAAAATTTGTTTTATAATTTCAGCAATAAATCTCAATAGCTTTAAGCTACTAGATACTCGTATTATATTTTATGAATTTTATATTAATTATTAAGAAATTTTTATTAATTGAAAAAGGCTTTAAGTTAAAAATAATTAAATAAATTTAACTCAAATTTACGAATTCTTCAATAGTATGCAATTAAATGTTATATAATATAAGTATATATAATTTGATGAGATTATGCATTTACCGGAGAGTAAATTACGCATGCATGCTTTCAAATCATTGATATTTTATATAAAACGAACTTAGTCGAACTCGCACACATTCAATTTAAATATATGGAAAAATGCACGATTCTCGTTAAATGTTCGTTTTTGCTTGCAAACAAACATTTTGCTTATTCTACGCCTGATTTCCTTACGAATTCAAACATAAATGATGAAATATAACGTATGTGTGAGATTATAAAGCATTTACGTCTTAATTATGCATTTAATTGTACCTATTAAATTACATAATTTTGCTTGAATATATTGGAATATAAATTATGAGTGTAATTTTATAGCTGTAATTTTGATCGTGCAAATTTAACCTAGCAATATGTTTAAATTGCATACAATGACCCTCTCTAATTTAAGTCAATAAATTACATGCTAAGCTTCTCTCAAATTTGTCTGTTAGAATCAACTGATCATTCAAAATGGGTATATCTGCAAAGCCTAGCCGTTTAAACCTGTTTTGTTCTAGTTGTTTTATTTCGAATTAATGTCCTTCGGGGGTCTTTTAATTTTTTCTACTTTAGTATGTTTCCACTACTGTTTTACCTAAAGAATTTCACTTAACGCCTTTTCTTAGAATGGTATATTATTTACTATTTTGGGGATTGTAGCCTGTTCGGCTTCATTTTGTTTTCCTGATTTCGGCATGTACCCGTTCCTACCCGATTATTTTCCAGATATTTTTACTTCCAATTATTTTTCGCCAGAATATTCTTCCATATTTATTCTTAGGCATTATTATTAATGAAAATTTCCACCTTATCCATATAGTTCGTCTTTATCAACCATGTTTCACTTCTGCGTTTAAATTGCGTAAGGTTTGACATTATTATAGAAATTATTTTATTTGATAAATGTAAGTGTCATTAATATAACACAAAAATGTTTGTTAAAATAATAATTAAGAATAAAAACTTTTATAATTAGAAAATCTTATAAATTTTTAATGGAATCCAAGAAATGTCAGAAATTTTAAAAATTTAATAAATAAGACAAATATCTACATATGTATATATAAAATATACCATAAATAAGATGTTAAAATTTTGAAAAATTTTGCAAGAATAAATATTTGAAATATTTTCTGTTTGCAAAAAAAAATTCCTGTTGCGATTAACTATGCGATTATAATATTCTTAAAACATTTCCGCATCATAATATCATCTTGTAAATGAACACAAATAACATACATACATACATATATTATTCTGTTGCATAACATTGCGAACATTGTAAAACAGATGTCTATTCTAATTGAATATGCAATTAAAATATTTTTTATTAAAATGTTATTCAAATGCTTGTTTTGTCATCATCTAATTTCAATCTTATAGAATTGATGATTATAAAGTATAATGATTTTTATAGGTTTGTATGTATAATTGTATATAATCATTATAAAAGTATGCACATTGCACATCATTCGAATTTATGTGCAGATTTCTAAAAACAAAGAATATTTTAACAATTTTGTATAAAATAAAAATTTTTTTCTTGCTGTTGTTGATTTTCACATTTCTTTCATTTTTCGATTAAAAATTTCACTTATTTTTTTGATTTCATCAACAATATTATTTCTTTAGTTCATTTTATGTCACGTAAGTTTTTTAACTAAATATTAATGTAATTGACTGACATTTTGTACAAGGAGAAATAGTATGAATATATTTTGGTTTAATATACCCATAGATGCTTATCCAAGTGAACTTGTACGTATAATATGTATGTGTGTTAAATACATACATACATATATGAATTTTACATTTTACCGCTGACATTCCATAAAATGACACATTTTGTAAAATCTATACCTTTCTGTATATTTATATGAATGTTAACATTATAATGAATTGGAAATCATTTTAAAAAACTACAGGTGCATATCAAAATTTCCAAATTTCATTTCTATATTGAGATGAAATGAAGCATTTTCTGAATCCGTTCACAAAAAAAAATATCAAATCGTATTTGAATTTTTGTAAAAATTCATTGTATGTACAAATGTTTAAATGCATATTTAATTTAATATTCTTTGAATTAGTTATAGGCATTCAATGCATTGGAATCACATTTTCAGACATAATAAAGATTTAATTTTTGTTGTATAACAGAGTATATTTTACATAGTTCATTATAGAAATTTATGAATTAATATTGTAAAAATAAAATAAGGAAATTATAGGTAGTTAAGTTAGTTTGAATAACGGTACTGAATAACGGTATTACTATTATGGTATAAAGATCAAACATTGAAAAATCCGCCGAAAACTCTCAAAACTACACATAGTATTTGTTGATGCATAAGAATTAATAAATTTTGTTATAAATGGCGAATTATTTGCAAGTTTTATACAAAAATTCCCTTAGTATAAAATAAAGTGGCTGCCGCTCGTTATTTTCTTATACGAAACCAAGTTTGGAAAATCGATAATTCGTACGAATTACGACGATTCGATTAATTTACATTTTCTTACAGTTGGAGGAGGGTGAGGGTGGTATTCATACCGAAGGCCAATCGTCCTGACACTCACCCGAAGTCATACCGGCCAATAAGTTTGGCATCGTTTCTCTTGAAGTCAATGGAGAAGATGCTAGATGTGCACGTGAGGGTCACAATCGAGGGGACCTCGCCTCTGCACAGAAAGCATTTCGCCTATCGGGCGGGAATGTCACCCGAGATTGCCCTGCACCGCCTCACTCAAGAATTAGAAACCTTGCTGGATGTTGAAGGGGCCTTCGACAATACCTCCTTTGAATTAATAATGAGAGCGGCTGCAGACAAGGGAATTGAGGCAATATGTTGTGGCTGACCGAATGCAGGGTGTCCTGAACATCATACGGGACTGGACGCAAGTGGCATTAACCTGGGAAAGGCAGTCATTGATTGTACCATTTACTAGGCGGCGGGAATTTAGTGTGCGCCCGTTGCTCCTGAGGGGCACAAACATTGAACCTTCCAAGAAGGTCAAGTATCTGGGAGTAATCCTAGACCAACGACTAAACTGGGGGCCCCATCTTGATGGAGTCATATTTAGGGCCACCCGGGCTCTATGGGCTTCGACGAGGCCATATCGAAAAACGTGGGGTCTTAGACCTAAAATGGTCCACTGGACCTGCACTACAATTGGTCGACCAATTGTAACTTATTCTTCTGTCATATGGTGGCAGAAGGCTGAGCAGGCGACGGCGCGGGCTTCTCTCACTCGGTTGCAGCGCCTCGCATGTCTTGGCATAACGCGCGCCCTGAGAACGTGCATAACGACCTCGATGGAGGCTCTCCTGGGCTTGGCACAGCTTCATATTTATCTAAAGGGGGAGGCTATGAAAGGGGCTCTGCGGATAAGGCAATATAGGGAGCCAAAGCCCTTGGACTTTCGTCTGAGGGGAGAGGAACATTGTGAAGCCATACGTTATGGATCTAGCTGAAAGGCGGATCTGGGACAACTTGGCCCTGGGGTCGTGGTCTTCTATAAAGATGGATCCAAAACCAAAGAAGGGGTGTGCGTGGCTGTGTATGGTGAGAGCGTAAGCATATTAAGGGCTCCGGACGCTGCCCATCGATATTTCAGGCTGAGACATATGCCATAGAGTTGTGTGCTCTAGAATGTATCTCATGTTCCTTACATGAGAAGGAGCAAGATTTTTATTATGTCGGACAGTAGGGCTGTTCTCGGGGCCCTCTTGTCTGATATAGTGGGATCCAAGCTGCTGAAAGATTGCATTGACACCCTTGGTGTCCTGGCCATGCACAACAAATTAACCTTGATGTGGGTGCCGGAACACTACGGAGTAGGCGGGAACGAGAGAGCTGATGGTCTTTCCAGGGAGGGAGCGGCGACTCCCTTCGTTGGGCCGGAGCCATGCTTTGGGGTGTCCAAGACTACGGTCTTGCGTGGCCTCAGTGAATGGGAGAAGCGGGCCAGAGTTGAACATTGGGACAGCTGCCTGGGCACTCTAAAAAATTTGTGCGTCCCCTGGGACTGAAGGGGCAGGGTCTGACTTTGCTCAGTCGTCCAAATTTGAGAACATTAGTGGTGGTTCTCACTGGACACTGCCTCTCGAGGGTCCACTTGAAAAGGATGTGCAGTGTGGCGGATGAGGTTTGCCGTTTATGCCTGGAGGAGGACGAAACCATGGAGCACTTACTATGTGAATGCGGGGCGGTTGCTCACCTGCGGCTGAGGTGCTTCAGGAAGGGGCTTTGTGACTCCGGGGAGGATCTCGCAGCTTGATGTGGCTGCCATACTGCGGTTTGTTAGGGGCTTAGGAATAGAGCTAATGTAGGGGGGAGCGGAATCACAAAAGATCCTATGGGTCAACGTGAGTGGGGCCTAAGGGCCTCGGTCCCCGTGGAGGAAAAAAAAAAAACTAATTTGTTTTGTATACAAATAAGCAAGAGGTCTTTTATCACATATTAGTAGTTCTTCATTTATCCCCTATAAATGTACTTCATATTTGCAATTCATTAAGTTGCAAGCCGTAATAATGACACTTAAATAAATACATAAAATTTGTCGCTTTTTTACGCAAATTACTCGCATTTTAAAGTAATTTAGATTTGAAATGAAATAAAATAATTTCTTTCAATACGCTAATATCATTAGAATTCGTGAAGTTAACAAGTGAAACAAAATACCTTAAAAGAATTTCTTTCATTAACATGAAGATTTTTAATGCCGAGTATAAGAGTTTATCTTAAATATTACTAAAAAATTAAATAAAAATATATTAAAAAATTGTCATCTTATATTCTTTATTTTTAAAATATGAAAAATATGATAAAACTTTTTAATGGAAATTGAAAATAAAATAATTATTATTGAAAATTGCAATTGCACACACTTTGGATTTTATCTTACAAAATATAATTGCATTGGAATATGAGTTTTTCAATCGGATAATGCTCTAAAATTTTATTTTATTTATTACATAATTTATTTTAGTAAGAAAAAAAAAAGGACATAATTTTATAATCACTTATTTAATACTAAAAAATATTAATATAGATAAGGAAAGTGTAAAATATGGTTATTAACAAAATGCAAGTAAACGAGTTGAAAAGCAAAAAGAACACATGCAATTCCGAAATAAAATTAACAAGGAACGATTTAATAAGTATAGATTTTAAGAAGGTTAAAATTGTCTTCTTTCTGAGTACTTTTTAATGAAAATAAAAGGCATAGATGGCTCTAAGCAATATTAATTGTTATACAAAAATACAAGTTATATGATTGTCGTTCTTATGCGTTATTAAAGATCTTTAAAGTATGCAGCGGCATATATGCGGTTGGAATGGCTCTATTATAAAATTTATTACAAAATTACAATTGCAATCTTTGTGTCATTTCATTAAAGGTTATTAATATTAATTATTTAAGTTTAAACTTAAACAGAGTATTAAGTGTACTTAAGTAATTTTTATTGAAAATGATATTCTGCAGTGAGCACACATCGTCATGGCAAAAAACAAACATTTTTGTCGTTATCGTCTATATCAAAACAAAAAATGAAATACTTATTTTCCCGTATACTACACCGGGATAAGTAATTGGGAAGTAAATGCCTGTATTCTAAGAAATTTGAGACTCTATAACACTTAAGTCAGGGAGTTTACAAAATAATCTAGATTTTGAGAAATTTGACAATAACCAACTTCGAATCATAAAAATTGTCAATTATTCATCAAAATTATAACCATTTTAAAATTTTCAGATTTTTTCGTACTAAAAGAAAACAATTATTAATTTTATTATGTAAAACAAAATTCTATTCAAAAAATTTAGTCATTATTTTAACGAATTATTTTTTATCTCTAAATTACAATCTTGACTTTGTATAATTTCTACATACAATTTGTGTATCGTGGCTTGTTTAGCTTGTTGAATTTTTAATAAAAAATATATGTAGTTTTAAGCACTTGTCCAAAAAAATTTTTGAAAAAAAGTGTTTGTTAGTTTTACTCTGTCTGTCCGTCCGTACGTTCGTGTACATGATTTTTTCAAATTTTTGTAGGTGTCTGAAATTTTAGCAGCTTTTCGACACTAATAAAAAATTTATTTCGTTAGAAGAAAAGTTTTTCCATCTCCATCTTGAAATTTGTAAAATTTAAATTAATGGCACTTTATATTTCCGAAACTGCAAGTTTCTCAAAATTCGTACAAATGTAGATAGCTATTTACCGTTAGTAATGCCATTAAAAATATTTCTTAACTCAAGTAATTAACCCGTAAATTCGAGCCTTATGTTAATGTTTCCTTGATTTTTTTTTTGGTTTCAAAGATTGCAAATACTGATCATCCTAAATGTATGCAATCTTTGAAATATTCTTAACTGAACTTAATTTCAATAATGTAGTACATAGTTATAGATTGTTTATAAAAGCAGTATTTTCACTTGCTGAATAGAAAAGTGCTGCATTACAAAACATTTTTTTGATCCAACTTTATTTTTTTTTTCTTTTCTTCTCCATTTAATATTTTGAATACCTCATGCTTTTCTTTGTTGTTTTTTTTTGACAAAATCTTGACTAAAAAAAAAAAACATTCGACATTGCAAAAATATTGCAGAAAACATGAAAAATTTTTAGAAATAACATATTTTTTGTCTTTTAATAATAACCATTGTTCAAGACGTTCGTCGAATGTTAAAATATTTTTTTTTAACATAACCATAAATGGAAATTTGAATAGAAAAATCTTTTAAATTATTCAATTTGTTGCATTTTTTTCAAAAAATTAGAATTGATTCTCAAACTGTTTTTGTTATACAATTAATATACGTTTTTAATAAGCAGATTGCAAAATGGTTTAATTCTGCGTTCAGTGTGAATCTTTAATGACTCGAATTCAATTATAGTGTTTCAGCGATTCCAAATTCGTTATAATTTGAAAATATCGCTTACATTTTTGTTTTAGGTAAAATCTGTTTATGAAAGTATTACTTCGTTCCATCTGAAACCAAGATGAGCTCCAGCTATTTTGCTGTAAAATATTTGATTCCGAAAATTTTTGAAAAATTTTCAATTGTTTCCGAAAATTTGATTCCGAAAAGTCTTGAAAAAATTTCAATTGTTTTACTCGTAGTTCTAATATTAACCACGTTACAAATTTTCAAAATTGACTGAAAAAATCGGTAGTCGATTCGCACAACTTCGATAAAATCAATCGAAAGGTATTTTTACCCTAACGGGTTTGCTAACAGCCTTAAGCATGTTTAAAAAAAAAATTTCTAATGTTTTAAAGAATTTCTTGGAACACATTTTTATTGTGCGCTACAACTTGTGACTTTCCAAAATTGATCCTTTTGACTTTTTTGACTTTTCTTGTTAATTTTGCAGTTGCTGCTTGGCGCGAAGAGCTTCGATTGATGATGGCCGATTTTTTAAAAAGTTCACGAACAAAATTTTCGGAGAACTTCGTGACCTTTACACCGGTATCATATTTCGAAAGTGTTCGAAGTGAAAACGGCAATTGCGGACTTCGGTCCAAGCTCCAAATCTTTAGCTCATCTAGAATTACACGAATTCTTTTTACGGACAATATTTAAGATATTTCACCACTCACAGAAAAGTTTATAAACCTTTGGAGCAATAAAAAAAATTATTGATGGAATTACACAAATCTATACATTTATAATTCTTTTGTTTGTTACAATATCAAATCATTTTGCAGTTTACTAAAGGTTTTCAAAACAAAGTCTACGTTTTTTTTTAATTTCGTCATCAATTTCAAGTGATATCTTATATTAAAATCGATTATGGTCTAGCAGACCTGGAAAACATTTGGAATGTTAAGAAGAAAAGAAAATTTCTCGTCTTTTTAGTGTTGAGATTTGCGATATTCAATTTTAATTCCAAGAATTTTCTTCACAAAAATACACACATATTGATTATAAATATGCAAAATTACAAACAAAATCTCTTCAAAAAGAAGTCAGAGTTTATCAAGAAAATCAAAAATGTTGGCGGAAAATAAAATCTTATATGCATTTATGTACAAATTTAATTGTATAGTTTAAGTATATTTCTAAAATTCAAAATGTAAAAATATTACTAAGTGTAGGATAAGCATTTGATTACAGTTTTGATTTTTTTTTTTTTGTAATGTTGTAAGATAATAGCAGGAATATAATTGAATTACAATCAAACATGATTCTTTTCTCAATTTCCTATAAAATATATGTACAATATATACACACATACATAAATATTGTTATAAACCTATGTTTATATCAAATTATTAACATTGATGATGATGACGATGATAATACCTACAATCTTATCAGCATAATAATATTGACAATGATTGAAAACATGAAATATCTGACAGGGTGTGTGCATGAGTGCAGTAAAAAAGGAAAATACTTATGTGATCAAAAAATAAATTGACTTTAAAAGAGGAGGAAAACTTCAAATTTTGTCTTAATTATTGTTTGGTTTTAGAATTTTTCTGAAACAATTTACGAATCGGTGATAACGGGAGAGTGGTAAAACTCTGTTGATTTTCGGTTTAGAAAATCATTCGGGACTCGGAATCATTAGGGATTCGGAATCATTAGAGATTCGGAATCATTAGGGATTCGGAATCATTAGGGATTGGGAATCATTAGGGATTCGGAATCATTAGGGATTCGGATCTGTTTAACAAAATTTTGGCATGTATTTAAAGTCATTTTCATTGATGTATTTAAAATCTCTTTCGTACTCTGAGCTCTAACATAGATGGTTGTTAATATCTCGGACAAATATGGCATTCCATTTTGAACAGAATATCATTCGATCATATGATATTTAGGGAACTTCTAATTGAAGTAGAAGTACCTTATTTTTTAATTTTAAAAATTTCCGACGTGGCTTTGCTAATTTGTTCACTCTTTAAATGTGATTTCTACGGCTGTTCCATTAACAGCCGTAGCAGAAAGTGAGAGTAGTCATATTTCATAAAAACGCGTTGATTCCGGCAATCAAAATGCTAAAATTTCAAAATTACAGTGAATTCTTTATATTATTTTTTTATTTGGAACAACAAGAAGTTTTTGAAAAAATATTTTCTTCTCTTTATAAATTAATTGTTCAATTTAATTTCAATTTAGCATTTATTTAAATTACAAATTCCTGTAATTATAATTTATTATAATAGTTAAAATAACTAAATTAAATTTATATAACAATTTAGAATATCGTATCATGTAGTATAATATTTTAATTCTTCAGAGCTTAGCATTATTTTCAATTTTATACGCCTAAATGTATGCATATACCACCTTATGCATATATAAGGAAATTATATACTGATAAATGAATACAATATTAAATTCTATCAATTCTGTTAACCCGTAGGAGGTGAAATTTTATGATAATAACATGTTTATTATAATAGCAATCATCATCACAATCATTCAATATTAATATTATATTCAACGATTTCCAACCTGTTCATTTTAACTTACTTATGTGTGTATAAAATCTAAAAAAAATTTTTAAACTAATCCCAAGAAGAGTATATTAAATATTTGTTAAACTATACACAATTGTCTGTGTGTATGTATATGATAGAAAATAATCAGATCTATATATTGTTTGTATGTATATCATAATTGTATATGTACATTAAAAAATCAAAATTGTTAATGGTACATAATCTTAAGATAAATATTTTCTTAAAGTTAACATGGAAATAAATTTCTAAGTATTATTTTAATGTGTCAATAAATTCTTGTATATATAACTCTTTCCTTTTCTGTATATTATTTTAAGGTAACTATTATAAAAAGAAGAAATAATAATACATATTATCCATATATTGGAACCATCTGTGGTATAAATGAAAAAAACTTACTATAGTGGGCAATTCAATATTGTCACCGGTTTAAACGGTATTTTTGTCGATTTTTGATTTGGGAAGAAAATTATCCAACAAAATTTATGACATTTATTCATGTAGCTATTTTTAGACGTTTACTACAGAGCCCTAACAGAACTGGGCTTTAAAAATATCTCTGATTGTAGTAAATGAAGTTTAAAATGTAAATTTTATCAATTTCTCTTGAGTTCGCTTCTGTGTTCCCGAGGTTTAATTTTAAAGTCATGATTTCATTTATTTACCAAATTTGTTACAATTTTATACTTTGAAATCTTTCAGTCGTAAACGTCAATTTTTCCAAAACTATAGTTAAGCCAATAGTGTTGCATACCGTCTTTATATAAAATTTTTTTCTAACAACGTTTTCAAATGTTGGGGAATAAATTGTCATTATATAAATGTTCTAAAGAAGCTCTACTGCAATGTTTGGTAGCCTTTTTTAAAATTCTGCTGTCATTACACTTCATTATAATTTAAATGTAACTAATTTGGACACATTATTTGTATTTTGGTAAAATCTCGAGTAAATCATGAACAATTCGAATTTATTAGAAAGTTTAAGATCTACTGAGCAAGCATCATTTAAGAAGTTTTTGCTTATAACCACAGAGACATAAAAAGAAAAAAACTAATGTTAATTTTTTAAATAGAATTGGCAATATTTGTGATGATGGTACTGCCACCATACCTTGCAAATAAAACTAACAATAATTTATCATTAATAATTTTAAGCACAAAAAAATTTTTTTATTGATTTTTTTTTACTTTTTAATTACATTTCCGTCAATTATTATAGAAAATATGCGATAAAATTAATAAATCTTATTAGTGAATTAAAAAAAAAAATTATCTACGACATTCGCATTATGAATACTTCGAGTGGATGTGTGAATGTATAAATTTGATATCTTTGAAGGAAACTCGAAACATTGGAGAGGAAATTCAAGAAGGTGATTAAGAAATTTTGAAATGTGATGAGTTTATGATGAAAAAGTAAAAACTTGAATTTTTAGATAGTGAATTAAAAAAAAAATATAGATGCATATTGGGATTAGGAGAATGATAATATTAATGATAAAATTTGCTAAATATATTTTGTGCGTATGTTTATGTACGCAATATAAAGTTAGTAAGTAGATGGATATATTCGCCTTATGCCTTAGCAGTGGTAGACAACAATAATTACTTCATTATGAGTGTCAATTATAATAAAGATTTTAAATTTTCACAACAAATTAGGAAGGGTCCTAAAGAGTTTTAAAGAAGGGTTATAAAGAATGTTTGAATAAAAATAAAATCAACACTGAGTAAACGATATAGGAGTTAAGATTGTACTGTAAAAGCGCAAACAATCAAGCGGCCATTTTTAATATCCGAGATTTAATGACCATGTCCAAACTAAATATATTTATATAGATAAGTAAAATGTTATCTAGGCTGTAAACTGTAAGTTAGTAAGTTGCATTCGATTTATATGATTTTTTCAAAAATTTTTAATCTACGAAACTAGTCGTGGAATTATATTAATAAGAACTACATAAAGAAATAATTTTGCTTCCATTTTGTCTTATAAATTTTTGATTTTTTCAAAAAAAACTCTTCAATAATTTGGAGCAATTTTTCTGAGTGTATATCACAAACTTTACAGTCGAATTTTTCGAGATATCTCATGTATTGTGATTCAAATTCACGAGTCAAATGAAGTAATTAAGTAAGTTTTATCATCCTTCTTTTTTAAAATGCGACGGTACGCATATGGAAAATAGGTTTAAATGTTCACTATTCACTGTATATTGAGCAAAGGTACATACAATTTGACATTCATCAAAATATTACCGTATACTTATAGTATCGCTAATAGAACATACACTTAATGCATGTAACTAAAGCGTTTCTGTTATTGATTTATTATGACAAATTTTGATTCCGTTAGTGCTATTGCAATAAAAAAACGTTAAAAAAAAACAGCCTCGCTAAAATGCCATAAAAATAACTTTGTATGTAAGAAGGCAAAAAATAGTTAATAAAAATAATTGGAATCGAAAATATTAGTTAGGAATATGAGAAAAAAAAAAATAAGAAAAGGAAAAAGAAAAAAATTCCAATCGAGTTTTCGTTTTCTTTACTGCATACGATCACAGCGTGTTTTTTTATAAGCAAGTTAAAAGCTATTATGAGTGTACGTGTTAAGCTTCCTGTAAAGTTATGAAATCAGACTTTTTTTGAAATGTAAAGTAATTTGTTAATTAATAAAAAAAAATTGATCGTTTTTCACGAAGTTTTAATAAAAACGGTCTTACTTAATTAAAAAGCTCTTTGATAAAATTTTTTATTAACCCTTTAATAACCGAATCATAATTGGCAGACAAAGTGCTATATAGTTGTGTCTGCACATGATAAAATGAAATAAACTTTCCGTTGGCGGGACAACTTCTCCTCTCGACTCATTCATCAAAATTTTAAAACTTTAATGACTTCTGCACTAGAACACCAAGCAATAGTATTTGTGTGAGGCTGAGCAAGGATGGCGGGTGGCCTTTGGTATTTTAGTATTTAACAATTACGGCAGTTAGTGGGAGCGATTTAAGGAAAAAAGCTATCATTT